GGGCTGCCAGACAGGACCCCGGCGCTGGCACCAGGGGGCTGGTGACACCTCTCTGTCACTGTCTCTCTCTGTCCCCCCTTTTCTCTCTCAGCTCTTTTCTATTCCATTTTCCTCTTCTGAGAAACTTTACCTGATTTAAGCCCCAGACAAATGATCAGCGTTAGCTGGTGCTGACCCTGAGCAGTGGATAAAGAAAGTTACACACCAAGTTACCCCTGGGCCCAAGCCCTCTGATATGCAGCATTTTTAGCAGTCGTTAAAGAAGTTCAAGAGAGAACGCATTTCACTGTTTCCCCCGAGTCCTCCGGACATCCCAGTCCCCCAGCTCTGCAGCTGGGAGCGATCCATGGCCACCTCCCGCCACTGGCTTCTCCCACTGAGACAGGGGGGTTTAAAGTTAAAAAGGGATCAAAAGAAATTCAGAATAGCTGCTCGGACAATAGATGATTAACGTTTGCCGTGCTTGCGCAGACAGGATGAGAGGATCAAAGCTGTGATGATGGGGGAGGAACTGCTGCCCCACCCGAGAGGAGAGCACACACCGCCTGCAAGGCCACGGAGACAGGGAGCCTCTAAACAAGATGGGAACCAGCCTGGCTCTTTGGGCTGAGACCAAGCGACCAGGAGGTGAGAAGTTCAGCTCCGATGAAGACTCATTTACTTCATCCTGTCGACCACCAGACGACCCCCAGGCAGCACTGCGCAGGCGCAGAAGGACTCTTTAGCTCATTATAATACGAAGCGGGGCTGGGTGGGGCTGGGTAATTAATATGAATGAATGGATTACAAAACTTAATGCATAAGCAACATTTTGGGGAATAAATAGAGGGACAGGTTTTGCGAAAAGGCGCGCATGTCTCTGGTGGAGAAATCCCCCATGCGCCTCAGCGCTGAAGAAACTACATACCTACTGTACAACTTTCACGAGTTGTGGAGTTTTTCCGCCTCACCACCTCCGGCTAGGACAGAGTCGTGGATCCCCACAGGCAGCCGGTGCCAGAGCTGTGTCCCAGTTCCAGGTGACAGAAGCCAAATGTCCCCTCCAGTCCATTCCCAGCGGGGCTCCTCAATCCCTGGTGCCCGCTCAGGCTCAGGAGGGCTCTCGGCTGCCCACACTGACATGGCTCTGCATGGCTCCTGCTCCCTCGCTGCGGCTGGAAGCTTTGTGGTGTCCCCAAGCCGCCTCCAGCTCTACTCAGACCCCTGACAGCAGCAGGGTAGATGCCCAGAGGAAGAGCAGCGGTGGTCGCTTATCGCAGGTGGATCTGCTGGTGCTTGGTGAGGGATGACTGGTTGTAGAAGCTCTTCCCACACTGGGGACACTGGTGGGGCCGCTCGCCAGTGTGGATGCGCTTGTGCTGGACCAGGGTTGAGTTGTTGTTGAAGCTCTTGCCACAGCCAGTGCAGTAGTAAGGTTTCTCTCCGGTGTGGATGTGCTGGTGCTGGAGGAAGGTCGAGCTGTGGTTGAAGCTCTTCCCGCAGTTACCGCACCTGTAGGGCCGCTCGCCGGTGTGGATGCGCTGGTGCACGTTGAGGTTGGAGCTGCGCTTGAAGCTCTTCCCGCAGTTGCTACACTTGTAGGGTCGCTCATCAGTGTGGATGCGCTGGTGGCCCCTGTGGAAACTCTTCCCGCAGCCGTCACAATAGTAGGGTTTCTCTCCGGTGTGGATCAGCTGGTGCTGCAGGAATTCTGCGCTGGGTATGAAGCTCTTCCCGCACTCGCCGCACTTGTAGGGCCGCTCTCCGGTGTGGATGCGCTGGTGCACATTCAGCTTGGAGGTGTGGCTGAAGCTCTTCCCGCACTGGGGGCACCGGTAGGGCCGCTCGCCCGTGTGGATGCGCTGGTGGATGACAAGGTCTGTTCTCCGGCAGAAGCTCTTCCCGCACTGGGAGCAGGCGTAGGGCCGCTCACCGGTATGCAGCC